CCCCTCCAACCCCCCCGTAACCCTCCCTCTTCTTCGTCTCAACCTTCCGACAACAAAGGAAGGGCTCCCCTCTGATGAAGCCGCCAGTGGCAGGCGGCAGAAAGGCCTCAGGGATGTGCCACCCCTCCTGTGGATCTGCTGAGTTGTCCCTTGCATGTCGATGCGGAATCAGGACACTGAAATGGCATGGTGCAGGTTTCTCGTTTTCTTTTCCTTTTTCTTTCCTTTTTGTTCCTTTTTTCCTCCTTTGTTCTTCCCCTTTCTCTCTTTCCCTCTCTTTGTCCTTCCCCACCCACCCTACCCTCCCGGTCCGGATTACGGAGAGAACTTTTTGAGCAATAATTCTTTTCAAGCATAAGTGTTCTGAGCTTAATGCGTGTTATGAATCGGCTGTATCATCGTTTGCTTTTTCTACCTTTGTTTCGTTTTTTTTCTGTTCTTGTTTATCACGCACGTTCTTCCTCACTGTTTTCCCTGATTTTTTTTTTCAAAAGATGTGCAATTTGGATTTCAGTTGCCTGTGTTCCATCCCGTAGTCGGATACACAGGAATGAAAGACTGACCGCATACCGGAATGCCCCCTCCCCCCCTTTTTTTCCCCTCCATGTTAAAAGCGTTGCGACTCATATCTTGGGAATGATAGACTTCCATTCTTCCACATCACCCCCCCCTTTTTACCTAACCTCACTTCTTTTCGAGATATGCGATCTTTCCTTCAGCCACCTGCGCTACGATCATGTATTCAGAAGCGCAGGAGTGAAAGACGGATCACGTTTTGATTACTCGGGTTCTTCCTGTCTCTTTCGTTTCCATATGCGTTCGAGTTCCATTTCTTTGCCCTTACCGAAAGCCCAAAAATGAAAAGCGGTTCGCATCTGTGTATCTCGATCTCCTCTTTGCCTCCCCCCCTTTTTTTGAAAGAAAGCAATGGCGATGGTTAGTGAAAAAGGATCGTTGTTCTTGTCTGCAGTGGATTGTATGCTTTCGCGATATGACACCCCTTCCCTACTAGCTATTAGCCTAGAAACGAGTTCTGCGCCCCAATCGGAGTTCTCTCTTTCATCCCCCATTGTGTTTTGCTTGATCCATGGCTATCAAGCTGCATAACAGTCTGCTTCCATGGAAGGTTCCACCCCCCTGGCACAGCAGCTATCCAACTTTGCAGAGGATTTCAAAAGGATCAGCAACCAGTCTCTCACTCAGTTGCTCCCCGGCTTGTTAAAAGCCTTTGAATCTAGAGCATCGTGAATGAGAGACGGGTTGCAGTCCTCAAGAACCCTCCTTCTTCAACCCTATAGGGCGTAGTCTCGTGCTATTTTCCTTTTTTTTTAAAAATGCAGTTCCCCTCGTCTTTGTGTTCGAATGCTTATGCTGTACTGTGGGCCGATCTTTCCCCCTCCCCCCTTGCTGTCTCGGGAAGGAACGAGCATGGAATATCGTGCGAAATCACCGAGATCGATTTCCAATGCATTTGCGACCCCACTTTCACTTACGAGAGGTAGCATTCGCCTCCTAACTGAAAGTTCGCTCGCATGCACGGACATCTTTCAAACGCCCAGGTACCCCACCGCGCACTGCCAGGTTTACTAACCCTCCTCCGCCTTCTAGTTCTTACTACTTCTTCCACTCTCGTACGTAAACTTTCCCTGTTATCGCCCGTAACTACGCACGAGATGAGCACTGGCCTTGCCTCGAGTAGATGGATGGGTTACCGCGCAGCAGTAGTTCACAATTGCCTGCACAAGCTTCGGGGATTAAGGTGCGCCGATGATTAGTCATCGGAGTAACATGCGAGGTGCAGTAAAGTTACGTACCTTCGCGTACCATAGAGACAAACACACACACACACACACTCTTACATGCCCAGTTGGGTGATGTACATATAAACCGAGGATCCGCAATGTGATAAAAAGGACATAATGGACAATGCAGTGCAAGTAGAATCTCAACAAGCAATGTGCAGTCCGATACATACAAAATGGCGCTTTATAGCGCAGGGAAGACTTTAGACACAAGTCCTGACCTGACCGGGACTGACCTCTTTCACGTAGTATAAGATAGCGAAGCAGAATGCTAGAATACTAATGACTAGCCCAATCAACGTTTCAACGCAGACCAAACATACATCATGCTCATCACAAAGTGTGAAGGGGCCTGGCGCTATACACAGGAAAGAGGCGCCAGGTCCAGACATACACAGACGAAGAGGAAGGGATCAGACGAAGAAGAGGAAGGGGGAGATGGGAAAGTCGGGGGAGATGGGAAAGTCGTCAACACCAAGTCTCGTTACAAGTCCCAAATAATCCCTTTTCAAAATGTGTGAAGTCCCATGTCGAGTCTGGATCCAATGTCACCAACCTCTCTCTCTCTCTCTCGTAGTCTGCTGATGCAGTGAAGTCAGATAGCGAGAGGGTGAGAAGGAGATGGTGGACTGAGAAGAGGAAGAAGAAGAACTCTCTCTCTCTTGTATGCCAGGTACTAACCTGTGAAGATGGCACTGTGCTGCAGGTACCTCGAAGACGAAGCTGGAGCAACGGCGTAGCAGGTAAGTATCCCTGGCCTCCGCCCAATCTCTCTCTCTCTAGTACTACTCTAGCTATGGCGCCCAGCGCCGAAGACTACAACTAACGCTGCTAGCGCCCAGCACTGAAGACTACTGCTAACGCTACAACTACTCCCGCAGCGCTCCTTCATAGTGCTGCTGCCGAATCCTGAAGACTACTGACTGCCTCCTGCCTTCCACGTGAGGTGCCTGGGAAGTACCTAGGAGCTACCTCCCAACTACCTGCAGTCTGCAGGGCGGGCCAGTCTTATATAGTGCTGGCCCGTCCAGGAGGCTGCTCTTGCCAATGCCAAAACGTGCCAGACCCTGGGGTTGAAGTTCAAACAAAGGTTGTCTTGAAAATAGGCCAAAAATGGCCTGAGCTAAAACCCTGGTCTGGTGCCTGTGTTTCAGGGCAGGTCGAACTGATGAGGGCCTGAAAATGGCCCTCAGTTTCAGGCTGAAAATACTCAGGGCCGAAAAGGCCCTGATTTAGCCTGAAACGACACAGGGCTTGTAGGCCCTCATTTTCAGGCTTTCAGGCTGAAACGACACGAGGCCTGTAGGCCCTTGTTTTCAGGCTTTTGGCCTGAAAACAACACGGGGTCTGTAGGCCCTCGTTTTCAGGCTTTCAGGCTGAAAATGACACGGGCCCGAAAATGGCCCGTGCAGCCTGTTGCAGGCGCAGCATGTAACACACACACACACACACACACACACACACACACACACACACACACACACACAGANACACACACACACACACACACACACACACACACACACACACACACACACACACACACACACACACAGAGACACACACACACACACACACACACACAAACACAGAGACAAACACAAACACAAACCCAAAAAAAAAAGGATACGAAAAAAAACGAAATTGCGCCTCCGATCCGCCAAACTCCACCCCGACTTCCCCCTAGCCCTCTCCCCTTTCTCGCCCCTCTCTCTCTCTCTCTCTCTCTGTGTGTGTGTGCGTGTGTGTGTTTGTGTGTGTGTGTATGTGTGTGCGTGTGTGTGTTACACACACATACTTAAGAGAAAACGAAAAAAATGCAATTTTGCGCCTTCAACACACACAAACACACACACACACACACGCACACACACACACACACACAAAATAAAACGAAAAGAAAAATGAAAGCACGATTTCGCGCCTCGTATCCTAACCAAGTGCGCGATTTTGCGCCTTAAACCTCCAACCTCCTTTTGGAGACTTACGCCTAGCTTCCCCCCCGCACCCCTTCGACTTGCCCCCTAACTTTTCCTCTTCTCCCCCCTTTCCCTCCTCTGTACTTTCCCCTCTTCTCGTACTTTCCCTTTGTCCTCCTCCAGCCCCATCTCTTTCTGCCTCTCTACCCTCCCTCCCTCCTAACCTTTCGCCTTCCTTTTTCTCCTCCTCTTGTTCCTCTTCGTCTTCCTCGTCCTCCCCTTCGTGTGGCTTCGTCTACCTTTCGCGATCAGAGTGAATAGGAAAGAAAAACAAAACCACCATAGCCTCATCTCCCTTTCGCGATCAGAGTGAATAGGAAAGAAAAACAAAACCACCATAGCCTGTTTTGGCCCCCTTTCCCCGCGCCATTATCGTCTCACCTTGTTCTTGCAAATAGTGCTCCTTACTCCTTATCTTTCATCTTCATCGGCGACTTCAACCTCGTATTCATCAGTCAGCGTCGTCATGGTAGGGTGCTTGGTCTCTCTCTCTCTCTCTCTCTCTCTCTCTCTCTCTCTCTCTCTCTCTCTCTCTCTCTCTCGCGCGCGCGCCCACCCACAGTTCGTGTGAACCCCACGAAAAAAGCATTACTGTACCAGACTCTTTCGTTGGACTTTCACCAACTCATCAGGAGGTTGAACCCCGACAGTCTGCCCATGATGCATTTGCATGCGTGTGTTCGTGCTTGTGCGTGTGTGCATGTATGTGTGTGTGTGTGTGTGTGTGTGTGTGTGTGTGTGTGTGCATGTGCTTGTTCAAGTGGACGGGTGGGAGTTCGTGTGACTGCGTGCTGTGCGTGCATGTGCTTGTTCGAGCGGACAGGTAGGCGTTCGTGTGAGTGCACGCTGTGCGCCACCAAAGATATGCAGGAGGGCCAAACCGCTGGGCCCAAGAGAAGACCGTCCCGCCTGGAACCGGTTTCTCCCCACGCCTGGCAGCCCTAACTTCTGTTGGGCTGCAAACTTCTAATCTGGGCCGTTGGCCAACTGGTACTGGGCCGACGACCGCGATTGCCCCGCGATCTTAAAGTTTTAAGATCACGGGGCAATCCGGGCCATCGGGCCGGTAGGACCATGAAAGGCCTGGATCGCCGCGCGATCTTAAAATCTTAAGATCGCGGGGCAATCCGGGCCGCCGGGCCAGTAGGTCCGCGGACGGCCCAGATGCCAAAATTCTCACATTAGCAATTTTAATAAGTGTAGGGATTTCGCGATTTATGCGTGTTATCCTTGCGCAGGGGTCGTGCTTATCTTCTCCGTATCGTTCCAATTTTAATCGATGTCCCGAAGGACAGGGTTTAAACTTGGAATTGACTTTCAGTCTTCCAGATGTATTTGAAAAAAAGAAAAGTTGAAAGGAACAACCAGAAGCAGCAGCTCCTTACTAATCTGCTGGTTTCCCAACTGTCCCATCATGATTCCGTTAGAAGTCTAGAGCCAATAACCATTCCCTCACCCAACCTTTTCCCATCCCGCCCTCTTCTCCCTTCCCCCACACCCCCTCCCCCAACCCCCTGCTGCCCCAAAATTCTCTTAAAAGTCCAGAGCCAATTACCGTTCGAGACCCACACTTTCCAGTCAGTCAAGTGCCAAAAGTCGGCAATGCACACACTCGGTTGCAGATCATTACTTGTTACATTGAATGAATTTAAATCGCTTATTAAATAGATTGACTTTAACTTACTTGTTACTAGTTATTAGATTGAAGAATAGAACTCGGCAACACAAACGAATCCAACGGGCCTCCTGAAGTGGTCTGGCTTTTGCTCGGACGCAATGCACGGGGAAAAAATAAGACGTACGGGGAGCAGGAAATGAAGGCATACCGGACTGAAAGAGAAGACATGCCCTTTTCGCCCAGACCCAATGTCTGGCAAAGCAAATGCCAAGGGATCCGTAGCCGCCGAGGTGTTCATGCTCTCAAGGCGGGCACTTAAAGCGCGCCTTGTCGCACTGACATCCAGACACAGAGGAAATTCCGGATCGAGATCTGACTGCTGGCCCATGCAGAGAAACCCCGGGTGACTGAACTTTATCCGCATCCTCTGCACATGCAAAACCGAAAGCAATCAATTCGTTGTGCAAACAGTTAGATCAGAATGTCTTTGTCCGATGATGAACGCATAATGTTGTATGCTCACCAAATCCCAGCACAGAAGCAATGGACCAGGTCAAGTTGAGATTGATGGATTGATGTATTTGGGACAACTTCCAGTCGAGATGCAGCGATAATGACTGGCCAGTTCGGTCACATTAAGATTGATGGATTCACGATGCAAGATCTGAGGAGCAAAAGCTGAAACAACACACTTGCCTCCAGCCAAGAAATGAAGTTGCACAGTTTGGCCACGCCAACCACAAACATCACAAGTGCCCCTTCCTATCCACAGGTTGTTACTGCAGTCAGATACATCCAGGGCGGCCCAGAGTTCAATCCACAGAATCCAACCTCACAGAGGGAAATAGCAACTGGGGGTAGGACTTTCGTGGATGCATCTCACAGCATCTAGGGCCAGATGCGTTTGAAAAAGTAATAGAGCGAGAATGGCCAGACTATTCCTGACTAGTGTTGTACCCCCGTTCATCTGTGAACGTGGCCCGGTCACACGTTCACAGAACCCTGAACGGCCGTTAGTGACCACACGAACGGATTGCGGGAAGGCCTTTTGTCTTTTGCTTGGGGAGGGTGTATTTATTTTGCAGGGGGACCTTTCAAGGAACCTCCCATTTTTGTTCTGATTTTTTTACACTTTTTTTTAAATAAAAAAAAGGCTTCGCAGTGTTCGCACCAACAATCGAGCTCCGTTGGTACAGCCGTTTTTACAGACTCAAGTTCGAGTCCACATACAACCAGATGCCCAGAATAAAATAATTTCGAATTACCTCGGGCCGGTCAGCTTGAGTGATGATATCTCACGGCCGTCATCCTTTTATATTGAAAAAAAGGTGTTTGTGTGCGCATGTGTGTGTGCATGTGTGCGAGCGTCTGTGTGTGGGTGGGTGTGCACATGTATTCGTGTCTGTTTGTGTGTGTGTGTGCGCGCGGATGCATGTTGTCATACTCGCTATACACTTAAAAAAACATGACTGTGCCAGACTGTTTCATCGGACTTTCACCGACTCATCTGGAGGTTGAACCCCGACAGTCTGCCCAGGATTCATTTGACTGATGGATAAGGACTCACCACATCGCCCAGAGTTAGCGACACCCCTGAGAAAAGTGGTCGACTTTACTCACACCAACCTTGCAATCCTAGCAGACTGCCGGTCCAAATCCTTGACAAGAACGGTAGCAAGTCTGAGAAACTAATCTGACACAGTCATAAAACCCACTCTACACACTCACTCAGCCATGGACACCCAATGGCATGACCGCTAGTACGGTCCCGACCCTAGCCACATTGATCCGCCTGAATGTGTGTGTGTGCACATGTATGTGTGTGTGTGTGTGTGTGTGTGTGTGTGTGTGCGTGTGTGCGTGTGTGTGTGTGCGCGTGTGTGCGTGCGTGCATGTGTGTGTGTGTGTGTGTGTGTACGCGTGTGGTTTGTCTTTCCCCCCCCCATCATTCCATCCACCCATCAATCTTCATTAATCAATCAATCAATCAGTCTGTAAGGACCTGTCCAAACACGGACTGACAACACAGCTGATTTCTGAGTTTGTCGCTGGAATGAATGCCTACCTGAGATTCCCCCTCTCTGCTGAGTTTTCTAAGGCTGTGTGCATGCGTGCTTGTCTGAGCACTTGTCTGAGTGCTTGTCGGCTTGAGTGTTTTTTTTTTTTTTCAATTGCACCACAACACCGCCTATTCCATCCAGACGAGTAGATACGAGTTGAGCCAGCTCAACAATTAAAGAATTTCACCTCTTTAGCAAGCGGCATGAATCATAATAGATGTGTTTAGAACTGTGTTTAGCTGGGGTTTCATCAGGGCAACAGGTCCTCTTTTACTATGCCTCACACGTACAAGGCTGCCCACGTTGATGGTGGTTGAGCAGCAGCTGCCCACATCCCCGTGTGCCTTAAACCACCAGTACTTAGCCCAGCTCTCGGCCATGGAAAAAAATAGAGTAGAAATGTTTCTAGTCTGATGAATTTGGTCGCTTCTATAGTGACCCGTACATTTCCTAAAATTGTGGCTTGTTAATGCACGTTATGACAGGAGGCACGGTAAAAGGGAAGGTATGCTCCTGTGCATTTCTCTTCAGATCTTCATACTACTGTTCATCTCACTTCGGATCTTCAGCTTTTACTTAGTCTTTGGGTCTGTCCTTCATCTTCATACTTCCATTCATTTCACTTCTGATCTTCATTTTGTCTGTTCTCTCAACAATGCTCATTCGTATATTTGCGAGTAGCACAAAAGGGGAGGGTGGAGGGGAAGGGATAGAAGGCAGAGTTCTATAGGTAGTATAGGAGTGTGGGGTAGGGGGAGGTGGAGGGTAAGGGGCAGGAAAGAAACATGAGAAGGTCAGGATAGAGTATGACATGCAAAGGGCAGGGGAGAGATGTATGACGAGCTTGGCAGAATTCTAAACACTCACCAGAGACTAGCATTTTTTTTTGAATTGGCACTTCACCCAACCCGCCCACATTCTTTTAAGTACAGCCCGCACTCAATAATAAATAAATAAATATCATGGTGACCCAACCCACCCAAGTGTTCTTTTGAAATTTTCCGCCCACACCCAACCCGCCCGTCACCCGGAAAAAACCTTCACCCTGACCCACCCAGACCCGCGAGAACAAAATTACCCGCCCGCACCCGGTACCTAATTATTTTCAACCCGCATCCGCCCATTCCCCGTTGCCTCAGTCCCTTCGAACATTTACATGCACCACAACAACATCCTTGGATGACGGCGCGAAAATTTGAAGCATCTCCACTTTCGGCTGTCTTTGGATGACGGCGTGGAAATTTAAAGCCCTCCAGAAGTTTGAGGTTGGGGAGCGAACCTTGCCACTTGTTGTGGTTAGGTTCGATCCCCGTTGTTTGAATGGGAGCGAACATCCCATTGTTTGGGACGTGGTCCAACTACCACCGGTAGAGAGTATCACATTTTTTCAAGGAGGATCCCAAAGTTCAATTTGCCATTGGTGCGACTATTTCTTTTTCGAGGATGACAAGTTTTTTTTCCAGGGGGCCAGGGTGGAGACTTTCGGTTTCCTGGGCCTCCAACTTTTGAAGTCCACAGGTGGACCGCAACTGGGAAATATGTATGCTGGGGTTGGGGGCAGCGGGGTGGGGCTGGGAGGGAGGGTTCTTATGGGTTGTCCTGGGTCTGTGGGTTGGGTGATCCAGGCCTAGCACTCGCCCGCGGGTCACCCACCCATTCGGGTGACCCAAGCCTAACATTGACCCGCCCGTCACCCACCCAGGCTGGCTCACCTAGACCCACCCTCATCCCACCCATGCCAGCTTATCAAGACCCACACCTGACCCAATGCCTCGTTGGTGGGGTGGGTGCAGGTGGGTGTGGGTATGGGTACCCGTTGCTCATCTCTGACACTCACCGCTGGAACAGACTACTCTAGAATAGCACAGGGTTGCCAAAAAATATTTCTGGGTTGAGGAGCAGTTATTGCCTATGGTAAGTGGCCACCCCTACAGACCGGACAGGACAGGTTCGGGTGTGGACTATGGAAACACCGCATCCAATTTTCGCAGTCACAATTGCTGCATCAAATGGCGAGGAGACAGATGTCACAGGCTACATGGCTCCTACATCCTAGGAACACAGAGGCACATCGACTGCAATTATAGAGGCATTGCCGCTGAGTGCGTGTGTGACCCGCAAAGGCACTTGTTTGTTTGGGAGGGCCCGCAGGGCTGGTATTTACACGTGGGCGTGCAGCGGGGAAAACACTCAAGTGGCGGGAGTAGGCCCGTGACACTTACATCAGTGGGGAAAAGCACTCAAGTAGCAAGTAGGCCGGTAGCACTCAAGTAGCGGTAGATGTGTCGGGAACCGCAGGCCGAGCAGAAGAAGGCAAAAAGTTGGCATTTTTAGAGGACCAGTGGTGGTAGGCTACGTCTAGGCGGGTACCAGTCCAAGTAGCCTGTAGGCTAGGGGCTGTGCTGACGATATCAGAGCCTGCAATGGTGTTTCCCTCCAAAAGGGAGGTACCGGTTGCTTGGATGCTGCACGGCCTGGAAGTCGCCGCCCAAGGAGGCTTCTGCCTCGCTATGTCTCCGGGAAGAGTCAGGAGCTCTTCCTCATTTGCTGCGTGCAAGCTTGGGCAACATGCTGCTGGAGCGCGTGGTAGAGCAGCGCTGGACTGGAGCAGCGCTGCTGGGGAAGAAGGATGCCCAGCTCCCCAACTTGGCTATGGTGGAGGAGCTCGGGCAGTAGGAGGAGGAAGAAGGGACCAGGAGAGGGGAGCGCCAGGGGTACTTACCTGGCTATGGTGGACGTCATCTTCATCACCTTGGTGGGCGCTGCATCTGGAAGGACCCAGTTGGGGTAGAGCTGCACAAAGAAGCTTCGAGGCAGTGTCAGGCATGGCGGCCTGAGTCAAAGAGGGCATAGGTGCTTTGCGTTGTCTTTCGCACAGCAGGGCAAGGCCCTAGTAGTCCGCCAGCCTCGGCCTAGGTGAAGAGGAAGGAGAAGGGCAGCCATGGCTACGAGTTGTCCATAGTGACACGCCGAACGGCTAACAATCTGGCGTGTAAACTTTGTGCCAGTCTTGTCTGAAGTGCACGCATCTTACCGTAATTTTTTGAAAGCCAGGCCTTGTAAATCCTGGTCTGGAATCTGAAGACAAAAATCTCGAGTGAAGTCCAAGGAGTTCTGCCCCATCAATCCGTTTGAACGTTTAAATGCATTCTGCTCAAAGATTCAGGGTCCCATGACTGGCCATTCACGGATTCAAGGTCCCTTTCAGCGGGCACTGAACGCTGCGGTCAGCATTCATGGTGCCGACACTGTTCATGACTGCATAGCAATCAATGAAAAGTTGGAAAACTCGCTGCAGCTGAAAGACACTCGTCGTACGTCATCCTCATTCAGTAAGGGCCAGGCCTCTCTGTTGCCATGTTCATGCTTTGCTAGCATGAACACAGTTCAAGTCACGCCTGGCCTTAGCCCATAACCATTCCCAGCGCATAAGTTGTTGCACTGCAGTGCCCTCTGGTGTGGGACAGGACTGGCCCTCTGCAACCATTCCAGTGGAACTCTGGCATTATTACAATCTAGTCGTAATTGTTCCTGCTTGCCTAGAATGAACACAGTACCAGTGAAAAATGGCGTAACCCACAACCATTCCCAACACGGAAGTTCTTGCACTGCAGGACACTGCAGTGCCTACGGTGTGGGATCGGCGGGGCCCTCTGCGATGATTCCAGTGGCCGTACGCCACTGTTAGTGTCTTGTTCCACTATGGGCCTTGCTCCACTACTCTGCACATGAACAAAAGACAAAAATATATGGCGGTGTATCTTTCCATTTTCTAGCGGAAGATTTATTCTCATTCCCCACATTTGCTAAGTACTGGAGTGAGGCCCAATGCCCCTCTCTACAAGACAGAGAGGTCATGAACAAACAAACAAACAAACAAACAAACAAACAAGCAAACAAACAAACAAACCCCAACCAAAAACCCAACCCAACCCAACCTAACCCAGCCCAGCCAACAAACAAACCAAACAACCAGCCAACCAACAAACAAACAGATCAACAAACCGACAAACCAACCCAACCACCCAGCCCCCCACCTACCCGCCCCTATCCCCCCAACCAACCAACAAACGGATGCGCTTACCCTCAGAGGAACCAATCCTGTGTTTGTTAGCTCAAGGACCATTCGTCGCAACTCGCCCTCGTGAACCTTCTCCGGGAACTCATGAAGGACAGCCTCCAGCCGAGGCATCCTCTATAGTATTTGACCAGCCACAAAAATGATGGTAAAACACAAATCGCACCCAACAAGCAAATGCACCAGCAACAAACAAATTTAGTGCAGTACATGAAAAACAAGGTACTTGGTTGTAGGCCTTGTGGCCTGCTTAACTTCATCCACAACGACAGTGGTTTTCCTGACTAAAGACAAAAAAGCAAAAAAAACTTTTGATAAGGAGGCTATGGCTTACAGCTTCAACTGGGTCACTGAGAACCAGCGCCCAGGCAGAGGAGAGTGCACCTCCTCCGCAGAATTCAATACAAATGCACAGCAACGGAGAGCATGATGGATGAACAACCTCTGTGTATGAAAAAAAACGACACTGGAAGACGGCTGATGTGGAGATTATATTCTTAACACAGCCTTCAAGACGTGCTGGCCTAAGGACAATTCAAGCATAAATCTTAAAAAAACAAAGAGAGAGAGAGAGAGAGAGAGAGAGAGAGAGAGAGAGAGAGAGAGAGAGAGAGAGAGAG